CCCCAATTCCCACTACAGGGTGGGATGTGTTGGGACTCCTGGACCCCTTCTCCGGTGCTAGGGTGGGTGGGGTTGAGAGAAGCAAAGCAAGGGGGATGCCCAGGATCCCCTGCTCAGGGGAGGGGGTGGGTCTGAATGTACCCTTTGGGTGCATCTTCAGGATTTAGAGGTGCAGTGGAAGGAGACTTGTGGGATACAGCTTTTGGGGGATGCTGACCTGCCCCAGCCCAGTGCTTCACTGTGGGTTGCTCTGAGAGAGGGTGGCTCTGGGCTGCGGAGGTGCTTTAATGTTTCCCTGGGGTTGGTGTCTGTAGAGCATCTCCCATGCCATGTGTGACCATGCTGCCCTTTCCCGAGGAGAAAGGCGCTTAATATACTTCCTCCTTACAAAAGGGGAAACTGAGGCACGGTTTCTCTTCCCATCCCTGAGGAGAGGTGAGGTGGGGAGGGTTAAAACAGGGTGCAGGGTTGCATTTTTAGCTTCATAGCTCTGCTGCTGACCTGTGTGACCCCAACTATGGGCTTTTCCACCTCTTTTTTTTCTCCTCCTGCTTGTCACCAACCTCTTCTGTTGAGAAACAGGAGGCCAAAGGAAACTGAGACAAGGGTCTGCTGCTACCCAAGTTCATGCAGTGCCACAGCCTGGATTGCAAATCTGCTTAGGCATGCTAAAATATAGGTGATGCTGCCTATCCTCCCTGGCACTGCCATGCAAAGGTGGCATAACCAGTCTGATTGGGATCGAGCTGCATCCCGGATCGAGGAGCTCCCAGGCGAGGGTCTCCCATCTCCTTGGTGCTCAGCAGAACCCTCATCTTTGTAGCAAGAAGAGGGGCTGTGATGGCAGAGCTTTGCACAAGGCTGGATTTGGGGAACCAGTGGGAGGGCTGGCTGGGACAGTGCCAGCGTGCAGTGTCCCCATGCCCGGGTTGGGAGCGAGATGCTTTGGCAAAGGCTTGTGGCAGAACTGGAAGAGCAGGGCTAGAGCCAGAAGGTCAGGGTGAAGGTGTGGGTTTGGCACCTGGCGAGGGGGCTGGGGAGCATTGTGGGTCAGTTTTTGAGGGCACCCATGGAGCTGTCTGGGAGAACTGGTACGGCAGAAAGCTGTGCCAGAGTCAAACCAGCAAAGTGCGTGAAGGATTGGTGCTGGTTCCTCCCAGCTCATGCCAGCCTTGGAGATGGGCTTCAGACTGCCCTGGACCCGGTACCCTGTTGTAAGGCACCTCCTGGTCTCGCCCTACTCCAAGACTAGTTCCCATTTATCCTTCTTGGGATTAATGACCATCCCCTCCCAAACCACCTGCTTGTGATGCCAACTGCAACAGGATTTGGGGGCCAAGCACTTACTCTTGCCCTAGCTCTTTGGGCTGGCTTTGCATCTGGCATAATCCATTTTTGCTCCTAAAATTTGATACCCAAGCAGATTTGTGCCTGTGATTATTTTTTTAAAATTTCCTTTATTCACAATAAATAATATACTATATTACAAAGGTCTCAACACAAAATCCAAAAATCACGTTCTTTCTGCAGCCGTGAATAAACAGGGCTCACCAGCACCAGCTAATGCATGAAAAAGAATCTATGAGCAGCATGGGACCCGTGGCGGGGAGAAAGCAGGGGATTTTGCTGCACCCACCTGCCCAAAGCAGTCATTCTTCTTTGCTGGTGTCGACAGGGTATTTCCATCCCCTGGGCCATCAGAGGCAGGGGTGAAATCCTGCGCGCACCAGAACGTGCGGTCTCAGGCCTCAAAATCGTGCAGAAGTCACACCTAGGAGGGCAAGGATGCAACCGAGGGTGTAAAATCACAGCTGAGAGGCTGCCCTGGCCTGAGACTCCTTGGCCGGGCTTAGCTGGCTGCGGTTAAGCTAGGAGAGGTTCTAGCGCTCATGTAGAGAGATTATGTACACAGACGCTGCAATACTCCTTTTTTTTAGTCACACATGGTCTTTGAGTCAGAAGATTTTTTTTTTTGCTTAAGAGTCTGTTGTAGCTGGATGTGTTCATTGCCTGGCTTTGGTGCACGCATGAGCCCATGTGTGGGTCTTCCTCCCCTCCTTTTGTTTGTTTTTTTCCCAACTGTTCCTATGGTGGGGTCAACTCCATGGACTTCTTCCTCTCCTCTTTTTGTTCTTCCCACTCCTCCTCCGACTCGTAGGTGCCCTTGATGATGGCGACCCTATCTGACATGTTCATGCAGTAAGGGACGAGGATGTAGAAGTAGAGCAGAGAGGCCAAGCAAGCCCCAAGGATGGGTCCAACCCAGAACACCTAGAAAGCAACAAGGGGGAGAGGGTGAGAGCAGGTCTTGGAGACTGGTGCACCAGGTCCAGCCATCACACCAGCATCCCTCACTGCTCCACATCTTTTAGCCCATGGAGAGGCGCAAATATCCATTTCGGTAGTCTTGTTGGGCCGAAACCCCCTCAACCTTTGTTGGCTGAAGACATCAAGCTCTTTATGAGTGCAGAGATGTGGTGTGCCAGAAAGGAGGCACCAAGCCTGCTCTGCAAGGCTGGGTCTAAGCTTGCAGGCAGTGCTGGGCGAGTAGAAAGCCTAAGCTGGGCTTCTCTGTGGGCTTTATTGCCCTCAGATGGTGCCTCAGCTCAGCGTGCACCATTGCATGGGGAGTTTGTCCCCTTGCTGACTTCATGCCATGGGGACAACCTGTTCCTCGTCCGTGTCCCTCGTTCTCCAGCCCCCTTTTATCCTTTCAGGCCTGGGGTGGGCTCTGAAACACCCAGCCCTGTAATCCCTGTGGCAATCGCTGCCCTCTCCCCTTGTTGCCCGCATCTGGTCCTGGTAGCCTCTTGGCCAGCCCGTCCCGGCGTGCTGCTGGTGCTCACCCAATGTGCCGGGCTGAACCTCCTCACGATGACCGCAGGCCCGAAGGACCGGGCTGGATTCATGGAGCAGCCGGTGAAGTAGATCTGTCGGTGCAGAAAGGAGACCAGGTTAAGATGCATCATATTGCTTAGCAGATATGAGCAACTTTTCAGAAGCAGGGACCGAAACGGCCCCGATGCTGTCTCTCTTGCAAAGAGGTGGAGATTCCCCCGTCCTTGTGGAGAGGGAGCCCTGACATGTCCCATGCTGGCTCTCCCAGTGCAGCTCCCTCTGGGACCAACCACACAAGAGTATTTTGGGGACCCCCGTCTTAGTGGGACCCTCTGCCCTGTCCTCCTCCCTGGCCACTCACCCCCACCAAGTGGCCTACAGCGACGGAGAGGCCGATGGACAGTGCTGGGGAGCCCACGTTGCCGTTCCTCCGGTTGTCCGTGGACGCAAAGATGCATGCGGCCAGCTGGAAGGTGAGGATGATCTCCACCACGAGGGCCTGGCCTGGGGTCGTGTTGTTGTTGAGCTGCGAACCATCGAAAGGGACAATAGTTAACCATCTTTGGGGCTCGGCATCACCAGGAGGGCTCTTGGGTGCTTTGCTGGTGGATTCGGGTTGGCAAAGCCAGGCACAAGAAGCCCCCCCCAGCTCCCCTGCGCAATGTGCTGAAAGTGAAGAAATTATCTTTCTGTTTAATACTCCAAAATCTGTCTCTCCCCTGAACCCCTCCCTTCCCGCAGCTCTCCACATCTGTCTGTGCCTGCTTGTCTCTGCAAGACTCAGCACTTTCCCACCAAATCCCACACCAGTGTTTTCCTTTTTTTTTCCCCCGGATTTCTTTCCCCCTTGATCCTTGCAAGCTGTCGTATCCTGACTCTTCTCCCCTCCACTTTGTGGAGCACCTCCTCGAGAGGCTGGGGAGCGGCCACTGCGGAGGGGCACGGGATGAAGGGTGAGGGTTGGGATGAAGGCTGGGTCGTGGTCATGGGGGTCAGACGGGTTGTTGTTGTCCCAGTGCCTCCCCACTAACTATTGGGGACTGTCAGATGGACACGACCCCACTGAGCATGGGAAGGGCAAAGGGACCCAAGCCATCGCAGCTTGCTTTTTAGCTTGGTTTGGGACATGGCGCATGTTGGGAATAAGATGAATTGCAGCACCTCATCCTAGGGATCCAGCCCTCTGCAATGTGTCTGGGCTGCTCCGAGGGGTGCGGACCTGGCCATGGCTGGAGGGGTAGCTCCACTGCTCCCATTTCAGGTGGTTTCCCAGCACTGCCCCAAGGGTTTGAGACACGCTTCTTGTCCCCGCTTATCTCAGAGGGTCCCACTGTCTCCCTTCCTCCTCCAAGAGCAGCCCCTCCCACTCGCAGCCTCTCCGCACCCTCCCGCACATCGCTCCTTCTTCAGCCCTTCTCTACCATCTCTCTCCATCCACCTCTGTTTCCCGCCTCTCCCAGCACACCGGTTACAGTGGGCTTCTGCTCCCCCTGCCCATACTGGTTTGACTGGGCTCTGCTCCCTGCTCTCCCCACTCGGTCCTGGCGCAGCTCCTATCCCAGCACTAATCTCCAGGTGGAGAGGCTGCAGTCAAGAACATCTCAATGGTGCGGGTGACTCACTCAGGCCCTTAGGATAAAGGATGCGCTTATTAAAGGACGGGAAAAAAACATGTCATTCATTACCCCACACAATAAAACTGTCACGTCAATACTCTGCTGGCTATGCCAGTGTTTGCTCCTATCCCATTCCCATCCCTCTGTGCATGCAGGACAATGTGCCGAGACCAACCATCCTTATGGATTTGGTTCTCTGGGTTGGCACTGGCACCAGGTCCTCGCTCAGAAGGAGAAGAAAGCCTGCATGGCAAGGTGAACTATCTCCAGGTAGGGAGACTTACCGCGTTGATGGCCAGGTTGCCACGGGTATTGGCCGGCGTCACACCGTAGAGGATGCCGGCCCCGGCGATGGCCCCGACCAGTTGGGCGATCACGTAGAAGAGTGTCCGGAGGAAAGAGATCTGGTTCCCGACAAAGAAGGCGATGGTCACCGCCGGGTTGATGTGGGCACCGCTGATGTGGCCAAAAGCCTGCACCAACGTACCGATGGCCAGGCCAAACGCCAGCGCGATCTGAAGGATGCTGGGGAGGGCGGACGGCCACTTCAGGGCTGAGCCGAGGCCGATGAAGACGAAGATGAGCGTGGAGATAAACTCAACAAAGACGGATCGAGCAAAGGCCAGGGTTAATATTTCCTTCTTCATGGTGGGAGCAGGTGGAGGGCAGCTAGGAAGGAAGAAAGTTTCGGTTTCCTCTGTCTGCAGGCTCTTCTGTCTGCACCCAGTTGTAGGGCCATACCTATCTATATATGCAAGAGCAGCAGGGAGCTGCGTTACAAGGCGGTGGGTGGAGCCAGGGAATTAGCCAGTCCTCCCAAATTATCATGTGAAACTGGAAAAGTTTCCATCTGAAAATAACTTCGGAGCCTCTTGGTGAACCAGTGACTCAGATATTGGTGGCATTTCTTTCTCCTTCCCTCTGCAAACAAAGAGCCCCTATAGGGTGTCTCTCTGGTCGTTAGATAACGCGGTTGCATAACAATGTCGTGCTCCCTCCTCTGCTTTTTCTCTTTTACTACCTCTCGCCAGGTTCTGGGTGTTTCATTAGCAGAGGTGTAGTTAATATTCCCTTCCTCCGTGTGGTTGCAGACTGGAGAGGACTGTATTTTTGTTGGAGAAGCCTTGTTGCCGGTGTGGGGCTGGAGGAGCTCTCCTGGGGCAGGGCTCCCGGTGCATTCAATTTACATGGGATGTTGAAGCGTAAAGCAAATTTAAGCACCTGGACCTGCTCCCAGGCTGTCAAGACAGCTCAATGCCAGGAAACAAGTGGCTTGCAATTGTCCAGAGAGCACGGCAGGGTTTTAGGGGATGCTTTGCCTAGCCAGGGAGACGTAGACAAGCCGGGGCTTCTTCGGAGTGCCTGGATGGAGGAGGAATGGGATGGGGTAGCTCGGGTAAAGAGGGCTGACAGCTGCAGAGCCTGACTGTGGACCTCTCTGCTGCCTTTCTGCTTTGCTGGTCCTTACGGGGTGTGGATTTCGCAAGGGTGTGGGTTGGCAGTCGGGGGGTGCTCGTCGATTGTAGCCAGGGAGGGTGTATCCTACCCTTGTCATCCCAGGCCCTTTTCTTTTCTTTTTGCCTTTCAAGCTGTTGCTCAACAAGGCCAATGATTTTGCTCTTGGGAATGCCAGCGTAAAGCCACAGGCTTTGCACGGACACATGTTTACATGTCTCCTTTCATGTTCCCATGGCACTGCCCTCCATCCGAAATCCGTCGAGCTGCAAATCCTTGGCTGGCAGGGAGCGGAGGGGGGAGGCTCTCGGCACTGTGCAACACAGAGCTGTTGGGGACTGAGGTTTTGGGGCAGAAAAAGGCTCCAGTGATGCTTCACAATGAATTCTTGGTTCCCTTGTGGTCCTTACAGCCTTGTGCCAGGATTAATATTTATCTTTATTTAAAATGGGTTTGGGTGCCAGATGTGCTCTCCTTGCTCGATTGATTGCATGTTGCCTTTCTCAAGCGATGCCATTCTCTCCGTGCCTAACGCAGCGAGCCTGGGGTTATCCATGGCTCCCACGCGCCTCCGCAGCAACGGTCACGCTCCAGCACACGGCGAGCAAAGCTCTACATGTAGGAGATTGGTAAAATCGTTTAAAGCTCTCTTTAAATTGAAAAACCACTAAAAAGTTGCATTCGCTGCTGCCTTCTGCTGGGTGCAGACCTGCACACATCCTGTGGGGTCCAAAGCTCGGAGGGACTCTTCTTCAGGGCAAGAGAAGGAGACTTCTTCCTCCAGAGCCGAAAATAAATGAGCCTTTCTCCTCCAGCGGTACCCAAAGTCCTGAGCTCAGCAAACAGACCCGGAGAGTCTCAAGGGACTGAGGATCTGTTACAGTCCTCATTCCTGATAATGATTTTCTCCAGGTTCTGCTGATCCTGGGGAAGATTGCAGAGTTAAAGACCAGATCTGTTATCCTAGAAACACCCGGTCCGTTGGCGTGTTTTGGTGAAAGTTTTGCAAGCTGGTATTTCAAGACACCCTGGCCAGATTCCAGCGGGAGTAATTGCTTGCCACTTCCCTTCAGCCCCGTCTGTGGCTCCAGCTGGATAAAACGCGCCTTGTTCTCATCCTCCAAACCCTCTCATAACGCGCCCGCCACGGATTTCCCTTGGAAGCGGCCGCGTTTTGCTGGTAGCTCCTCCGCCGCCCGCCTTGCCTTAGCTAAAAAGCAACGTGGGGCTGAAAGATGCTTCTCCCAGGTTCCCAACTGTGGATAATAAACTCCTAGCAAAATCCTCTGGCTGCCTAGGAAATATAATCAACTAAGGCTGGACATTATGGGGAAAACTTCCAGAGAGAAACAAGATGTTTCTCTAACAAGGTGCCATGCAAAACTTATTTTCCCAAGGCTGTCTGCATTCCT